GTTGCTGTATACTGTGATCCCGTATGTTTTGTATATTAGGGTTTGTGTGCCTCCCTTTTTCGTATCATTAATGGTTAATTTTTTTTCATGGACACTGTGTTCGATGCAGTTAGTCATATCCTATTGCTATGGTGGTTTTGTATATATGAAGTTGTTCATATACTGTAGTGCTCTATGGTTGTTTGTTTATTTGTAGTGAATGATGTTAGTGTATTACTTTGTTTATTGTCATTGTGTTTTGTGTGGGGTATGCAATAAAAATGTGAAGTTTATCCCTAATCCTCAGTGTATTATTTTGTTTGTTTCCTTCTTCAATTAACTTTTAATTTTATGCCTGAAGAATAGGTTTTTTAATTCTATTAATTTATGCTTGTCATATACTGTAGGCATTTGTATTGTATGACTTTATGCTTTTATATTCTTTTTCTGTTTTGTGTGATTTGTTTGGGGATTAGGGATTATTTATTATTTTATTTTATGTTGGTTACATGCATGACTATATCTTTGTTTAGGGTTGTGGGTTGTGGTCCCAAAATGTATTGATGAAAGTTTTTTCTACTTTAAGAGTGAATACTGAAAATATTAGGCAAATTCATAATTGTTGAAATGCACCTTAGGGGCCATTTTGTCTTTCATCCACATGTTATTTATGAGGGTGGTAGGGTAAATGAAATAATTAACTGTGACCTTAACAAAATGTCTATGTTTGAGTTAAGAGACCTTTATTATGACTTGGTTGATGGAAAATGAGGAAACATAGATATGTACTATACATGGCCTAGTTATAATTTAGATGTTAGGTTGAAAACAATTTACAGTGATGTTGATGTGATGAAAATGCTTGAGGCTTATAAGGGTTTGGATTATATAGTAGTGTATATAGAGAAGGGTGTAAATCCCATTATGGTTTTGTCATCCAATGGTGAGTTGTTGTCAAATCCCAATGGTGCAGAACAGGGTGGTAATGCCATAGGTGGTGGTGACACAGAATAGGGTGGTAATGCCATATGTGGTGGTGACACAGACATTATTGATATAAACTTGTCTGATATTGACATCATAGTTGATGACATTGGGAATGACTGATATGATAGTGCAGAGGTAGCTGAGGGTAAGGATATGGGTAAGGAATGTGAGGGTAGTGAGAAATCAAGTCAGAATCAAGCTAGGGAAAGTCAAATAGGAAGAGAGCATGAGGGTAATGACACACAACATGAGAAGGGGTTGCAGCATACTACTGACACTGAGTCTGTAGAAGGTAATGAAGATGATGAGAGTGACAGTGCACAGAGTGAGACTGAATTTTTGGCTGATGAAGAGAGAACTGATAGTGATGATTCTGAGGACTTAGACTATATAGTTAGTGAAGAATATAGTGCTACTGAAACTTCTAAGGATAGTGCAGAGGAAAGTGATGACCAAAGTTGGTTGTATGAAGACCTAGAGGGTCCAAATGATGACATTTTTTATGAAACCTCACACAGAAGAACTGAAGGACCACCACCTAAAGTCAATCTACCAGATGATGTTGGTTGGTATTCAGATGTTGATGATGATGATGATGAATTGATTAGTCTGAAAGGATCATCAGATGAGGGAGATGCTGCTGGATACCCAGAATACAAAGAAGAGATGATGAAGGATCCCAAACTTGTAGTTTGAATGAAATTTCACAGTCCCCAAGTTTTTAGAGAGTATTTGAGGGAGTTTAATGTAGTACATGGTTATAATATAAGGTACATCAGAAATGAGAGTGCTAGGATCACTACTGTTAGCAGGCATGGGTGTACATGGACGATACTGTCACGACCCATACCCGCCCCTATAGGTTTAGCATCGTAATCGGCCAGTAATCCTTGGATTACCGAAGGCCTTTGAACAGATTAACATATAGCCAGGGGCTGCGGAAGCAAATAAACAAACTTACATAGTCCATAGAGCCGTGCAGACATATATAGGACAAAAATTTAAAAACTTTTCATATACATATATGCATATATACAGATATGACGTCGAAAAGTACAGCAACCTTACATCACCCAAGCCACATAGACAAGATTTCAAGCGTGTTCAGACCAGACATAAACATTTTGGAAGTACAAAAGTCCCAAGGACACAAAACTCAACAGATCACAAAAGTGAACCTCTACGGGAGGCATAATAGCTGACTGAAACCAAAACTCGCCAGGAGGTTTCTCAACCCTGGTCACGCGCTTGCTCACCTACATACATATAAATAAATAGTGAGCGGAAGCCCAGTGAACAATAACAAAGTAAAGGGTTTAATGAATGTTGTCCATAATAGTTACAAGAAACGGTATTCAGTAGTTGTCAAAAATGGCTACATAAACCTGTTCAGAAATCATAGTTCATAACAGATACAGATTCAGAATCATATTCATAATCAAAATTTGTAGTTAATCGTACGTGGTACATTTATTAGCCCTAGCAGAGACAGTTGGCCCATAAAGGAACGACCATAAAGGCATACAATTGACCCATAAATGGACGGCCATAAAGGCATACAGTTGACTCACGTGCACGGAGACGGTACAGTTGGCTCATGAGACATACAGTTGGCCCATAAATGGGACGTAATGATCTATAACAGTTGGCTCATGAGACATACAGTTGACCCATAATTGGGACGTAACAGAACAGATAACAGATATCATTTGAAGCTAAGAATTCCACGAATACATTTCAGAAACATTGGACAACCAATCATTCATATAGAAAATGTTATTTCAGGAAACAGACCATCTTATATCATTCAGAAAATAATTATAATTGAACATAGCTTTACAAAGTTATTACTCACAGTTGGCTTCGGGTGCAGACAAACAGAGCAGATTAATCAAATGGTTCGAGGCACGCAATCTACACGAACACACATATGGATACACACTTGAAACACACGTTCGAATTGTGCATAACTTATTTCGTTTGTTCTTAGTGTGTTTCTAGTCTTTAATCCTCATTATGGAGTCTTAACATGGCCTAGGAATGCCTAGGATGAAATGAAGATAAAAAAATGTGTTGGAAAACATTTTTCAAAACTTGCTGAAAATAGGGTCCACGCTCAAGCGCGACTTTTCCTGCTCGAGCGGACATGCAGACAATGAAGCTCCGCTCGAGCATGACTTTCCTCGCTAGAGCGGACTACAAACTCTTGAAAAAGTACTGGTTGAATATTTTTCACGCTCGACCCACGCTTGAGCGTGAAACTCAAACCCTCGCTCGAGCGCGGATTCCCTCGCTCAAGCGGACTGCAAAACACATGAACTTCTGGGCATATGCATTTTACGCTCAAGTGTGACTCTCGACGCTCGAGCGGAAGTGCATGTACTCAGAGTGTACGCTCGAGCGTAAAGTCCTCCGCTCGAGCGTGGATAAAAAATCTAGAATTTCCATATTGATCCTCAAGCACAAAACTCAACCTTTAAAGCTTCAAACTCGATTTTTCTGGGCCAAAACTTAAGAAAATACATGAAGACCCTAAAGCAACATGAATTAAAAATATTTCAAGAACCATGGCCCAAAGGCATGCCAATCGAACACAATTCCAACTAAAACTTCGTGAATAAAACATAAATACAACATGCATGATCTCCCTTGAGTTCAAACACTTCAAACCAAGATTAAATTTGGCAATTTGGTAGAAAACATGATGAATTCTCAAAACATAGATGAAATAAATACATGCATGAAAGAATTCTTTGAAGTTATGCTAAAATTGTGAAGAATTGCACATGCATGTATGGTATGGCCCAATTCTCCCAATTCTAATGCAATTCTACCATGAATTTACTTAATTCATCAATAATCTTGTAGAATCTAACTCAATTACTCAATTTAGAGTTTAGTCCCTTACCTAGAGGCCTGAATCTACAATGGTTAACGTCAAAACTCTTAAATGTTCATCAATGACAACAATTTCTAGCATCCTATAATTTGAGCCCCAAATTCTTTAAGTTTTTAGCCAATTCTTCCTTCTTCAGTCTCTCTCACGTTTTGGGCCTTGAGGACGGAAAATGACAAGTCAAAATATGTATAAGATTTGCAACAATTTGTATAAGCCCACTCAATGGCACACTTGTAATTAATTTGGATTCAAATAATTCAACCTTATTTATTCTAATTTAATCATCCCAAATCGAATTTAAATTAAACCTACCATAAAATCCTATAAATCCTGATAGACATATAAATCAAGTCAATTTTTGAGTCGGATGTCGATAAGGCTTTCAATTCGCAAATCGAAACTAAAACATGAACAGATCTTTCTATGCTATGCAGATAGAGACACATTAATAATGCAATACACATGTCATTAACTCAAGATTTCTTCTTAATCACTTGTTAGGCACACTTAAGCATGAATTAACGTTAATTAAGGGTCGGGGTTGTTACAGATACATGCCTCATTATTTAGGGAAACCACAACCTTTCAGATCAAAACTCTAGAAGGGAACACATGCGGGAGGCATTATAGTAACAAACAAGCCAACTCTAAGTATTTGGGGAAGGAGTTTGTAAATAAGGTGAGAGATAGCCCCTTCATTACCATAGCCTCTTTCAAGAAAAAAAATTAGAAGAGAGATAATGGTAGATGCAAGTAGGTTTCAAATATATAGGGCAAAGGGAAAGGCCAGGGAGATAATTGTAGAGGATTTGGCAGAGCAATATCACAGGATTAGGGATTATATAGCTACAGTTATTATGAAAAATCCAACCTCACACATTTCAATAACAACTAATCCTGAAAAGACAGAGCCTACATTTGAAAGAATGTATTTCAGACTTGGTGCACAGAAAGATGGATTTCTAACAAGGTGTAGACCAATAATAGGACTAGATGGTTGTCATTTGAAAGGAATTTTTGGAGGGCAGATACTCAGTGCTATTGAGAGAGATGGAAATGACAACATGTATCCTATTGCAATGGCTTTGGTTAAGATAGAATGTAAAGCCTCTTGGTCTTGGTTCTTAAGGAATTGATGAGTGATATTGGGAGTGTTGAGGAGATGGAGTGGACATTTATATTAGATAGACAAAAGGGGTTGGTTGAAACATTTGTAGAGTTATACCCTATAGATCACAGATATTGCCTGAGACATATGTATAATAACTTCAAGACAAAATACAGTGGTTGTGTGTTGAGAGACCTGTTCTGGAAAGCTGCATTAACTGAAAATGTGCATGAATTCAATTATTGGATGAAGAAGATTGAAGAAGTTGATCCTAAGACTGGAAATAGGAAGACAACTGTGGAGTGGTTGAAGGAGACTGGCCCTACTTTGTGGGCAAGGTCAAATTTTTCTCCAAAGAGCAAACGTGACATCCTTGTGAACAATTTGAGTGAGTCATTCAATTCTTACATCCTAGAAGCTAGAGAGCTACCAATAATATCCATGTTTGAATGGATCAGAAGGAAATTGACGCAAAGGATTCAAGTTAAAAAGGCTAGAATGGCAAAATACAGTGGTGAGATTTATCCCAATATTCATGACAAACTTGAGAAGTTGAAGGTGGAATCAAAGAACTGCTTTGCAACCTGGTGTGGACAATTGGAATTTGAGGTTGATCATTTTCAGAGGAGTACATAGTGGACCTAAGTACTAGGACATGCAGTTGTAAGAGATGGGATTTGTCTGGTTTGCCTTGTAGTCATGCCATCAGTGCAATTCAAATCAATCATGAGCTACCAGAAGCTTATGTGCATGAGTATTACAGCAAGTCTAGGTACTTGGATACTTATGCATTCATGATACACCCAGTTCCAGACATGCATGAGTATAATGAAGGTGGCCAGAAATTGAATCCATCAGAAGCAAAAAATTAGCAAGTAGACCAAAGAAGTTATGTCACTCCCCAATTTTTAATTACTCGAAAACATTACCAAAGCTTGTAATTTAGATCTTTTTTTTTTTTCTTTTTTTTTTCCTGTTTGTTTTTTTTTTTAAACTTTTTTTTTTTTTTTTTTTTTTTTTTACAAATATCCATTGCCCTTGAGTAATGGGAATACAATGATACATGTTTTCTCTCTCTCAATGAAAACAACAATACATGCCACTATTCTACTGTGAAGCTACAAATAAATAAATACAAATATCAATATACAGCAATTACTTCCTTCACACCCATAACAAAATTACACACAAACAGACTCATGGACTCTGTAACTCTTCCATTATGAATCCAAAGCTTCTTCCTGTAAAAAGATAAAACAACAACGAGGTCAGCACTAATGCCCAATAGAAATCTCATAGTTCTCAATCAATAACAAACACACAGATAGAAGTGATCATGCTTGCAGGGTGATACCATATAGTAGGATGACATTTTATAATTTCAAAATACCATAAGTAAGGTACCTTTTTTCTCAAAAACTATTTAAGCATTTTCAAGAAAAACCTTTAGCCATTAAAATCATCACTTAACCTTAGAAAAACATAGACCCTTGTGAAACAACCGTATTTAAGAAAACAACATCATTAAAAAGTTATTAACCAATTCCCAAAATATTTGTCATTCAGTTTCCATTTTTAATGTTCCTCTTTTTCTTTCATTCTTCCTTTCTACTCATTATATTTATTTAGAGCTCCATAACTTCAAGTTCAAGTTTCCTTTTTGATTCACTAACAATTCTCCTATACCCAATTGACACCGTTATTTACACTTTCAAATTTCATTTCAAGGTAACACAAGGTTAACAAACCCCTCTCAATTCAGTCTCTTATTTATTTTACCGAATAATACTCATAATTTACCTTTATTGTCGCAACTAATTCATTAAGTTCACCATCACCAATCCATAATCCAATTACCACTTCAATTTCCATTCTTTCAATTGATTTCATATCAAATACCGGATCCAATCACAAGTCATCTCCATGAGTCACACGCTTTACCGGTCACAAGCCGAAAAGAATGCGGAACCTCACGCTTTACCAAACACAAGCCAGAAGAAACGCGGAACCTCACGCTTTACCGGTCACCAGCCGGAAGGAACGCGGAACCTCAACATACCATACGCTTTACCGGACGCTACTCCGGAAGGAAGGCAGAACCTATCTCAAGCGCCGCGCTTTGTCGGCTCAAATACGATAAGAAACGGACCCCAAGATAACATCACAATCCATCATTACAATTAGTGGACAATGCCAACACATCTTCCATTATTTCCATAACACATTAATTCAATATACATCCACCATATATTAAAATCACATTCACAGAACAAGTACAAATATGTTTCACGACCTTCTTTATTATCTATTAAATCATTCATTATTTTGTCACACAAAAATATAACAACACCTCCATAGGGGCAAAGAATCATCTTTAAAGTATTCACAATTCTTGGGTTCAAACTATTTCTCTACTTTTCCGTATTATCATCAAGTCTTCAAATTCAATTTTTAAAACACATTGGTTGTCAATTACCACCCATGGTTATAAATTAAATCTCCAACATTTAATTTTCTTTGATACAACACCTTCATATAACATCTTCATATTTCACAATCTCTCATTTATCATTATTCACACTCATCTTAACCCAAAATAGACTTAATTTCATAAATTTAATGTTGATTGAAGTATCCTCATTTTCCAAAATGAAACTCCATAACTATTGTTAAATATAAAGTTGGACTTTTAGTTTTGAGGTATAAAATCACTTTCTAATTACACAATAAAATTCTTAAATCTTCACTTCATCATCTTATCACAAATTCCATATCATCTTTCAACTCCCCCCCCCCCCGGGCGGTTACCAATACAACACCACCCAACACAACTCAACTCAACTCAACGCAATTCAACATGATTCAAACACAATTCTTCATAGTCCAATACAATTCGGTTCAACATTATTCAACACAACTCAACATAATCAACATTATTCAATATAATCAACACTATTCAACATAATTCAAGGTGAACTCTTAAACCTCTATTTCATCATTTCACCCCAAGGCTCATGTCATCCATATCATTAATAAATCATTTCCCCAATCTTCATTTCACATTATAGCATAATTTACAATATCCATAACAAATGTTCAATCGCTAATTTTTAACATAATTTTCACACACCTCCAAAATCCAATTAAACTTGTATATATATAATTCAACCTACCAATTCATGATTCTACTTTAAATTTGGGCAAAATCATTGTTTATCATCATGAATCAACTTAGGGTTTTCAAGAAAATCAAGAATTTCAAGAAAAATTCAAACTTCTTAAACCACTACCCTTTATTCCAATCTTCCCATTGATTAAACACCTAAGGTTCATAATCCACCTTATTAACCCAACAATTGAACCCCCAATACTTCAAACCCTAAACCCCTAAAATCATGATGTACACTATATGCTCAAAAATGTGGGTTTTATATGTATATACTCAAAATACCACAAATCTATCTATTTATGGAAGTATTGAAGGAGAACTAGGACCCCTACCTCAAGAATCAAGAAAAGGAGCAAAATTTTGATGAGATTCTTCCACAAATCCGAACTTCAATCGGTTGAAAAGTATGATCTTCAAGCCTTCTTCATTTCTTTGTAAGGGATCTTAGACAATCCTTAGGGAAATGGAAGGTATTTGAGGTCAAAACCCTAGGGTTTTCAGACCTAGAGTGAGAGGGATGAAGAGAGAAGGTAGAAGTGTCAAGAATGATCTAGAAAAGTGCCTTTAAACTTGCTGAATTCGCGCGGTTCGCTCGAGCGAAGAAAAGCTCGCTCGAGCGAGCATGCTTCCAACATAGAAACTCAAAATTCGAACAGGTGTAACTTTCTCATTCGGACTCCGTTTTAGGTCGTTCTTGTGTCCAAATTGAAGCCCTGGAAACAAGATTTCCAATGGTTCTAGCCTCACGTTCAAATTCAAAGTATGGAAGGAGAAAAGGGCAAAAGAGCGACGGCTAGTCAAACACTCAAACTCAAATTTGGGGCTTTTTATCTAATTTTATCTAAATACCTTGTTAAGGCTTTAATCAAGGTTCCAAACATCACCCAAGGATCCTCAATTATAATATTTAAAGTTCACTTGCCAACCCATCAATATCAACAGTCCGACAACCATACAAGTTTTAAGGTGACGGGCACCACTGTACATCAATCCAATGTGAATTAAAATCTGAGTCATTACAATCTTCCTACCTTAAGAAATTTCGTTCCCGAAATTGCATCCGTTCTGTCAAAAATAGCAACAACTTTATGCTCACTAATTCTTAACAACCCCTAGTTCACAACAAAACATGAGAGCACCCACACATATCCACCAAACCTTAACAACTTTCAATTACGCATCACTTCAATTCTAAACCTAAAAATACAAAGTGTTACAATCTACCCACCTTGGAGAAATTTCGTCCTCAAAATATCATCCGTTCTATCAAAAATAGCAACAACCTTATGCTCACTAATTCTTAACAACCCCTAGTTCACAACAAACCATAAGAGCACCCATACATATCCACCAAACCTTAACAACTTTCAATTACACCTCACTTCAATTCTAAACCCAAAAATACAAAGTGTTACAAGTTAAGAAACAGACAAGCAGATGAGCCAAGAAATCCACACAAGGCATCAAGGAAAAACATCAATGTGACATGTGCTAAGTGTCTGCAAAAGGGGCACAATCAGAGGTCATGCAAAAACAAACTATATCCTAAGTCCAAAATGGTGAAGGTTCGTGTATACTTATGTATTCATTTATTGTATACATGTTATTGTTTGTTGTATACTTAATTTATTGTATGCTTAATTTGTTTGTTGCAGCAGAGATGTACTAGTGGGCAATCATCTCAACCTCCATCAATTCCTACTCCTACTCCAATAACAAACATCCCATCAAATGAGGTAACCAACTTTTAATGTTGACTTGTAACTTCAAGTAGGAAACTAACAGTAGTTTGCCCAATTTGTTCCTAACTGGAAATTTTTTGGCCTCAGATGTCCAGTAATAGCCAAACTAGAAAAGGTGGCCAAGCAGCATCTCAGCCAACAATGAGTGCTACTTCTATTGGACTGAAAAGGAGGAGTACTAGGCCATCCACTCAGGTAATTCACTTGTTTATATAACCAACTTTTTTATTTTGTAACTTTTCAATTTGTTAATTGAAAATGTTGTTGCAGCCCACAAAACTACCAACCCATGGTAGAAAGGCATCAAGTGGTCTTGGCAAAAAACCTAAAATCATAGTTAGTGGGAGGGGTAAAGAACCAATTAATGCATTTACATCTGCAGTTAATGTTGGAAGGACTGGAGTGAATGCTAATGTTAGAGGGTATACTGTTTCAATAACTTCTATACTAGAGACAATCAAAGCAAGGAGACTGGACAAAGAATTGGTAACTGGGTCAAAGTAGACCATAGGATTACCTGTTATTATTTATGTTTTTGTAATGAAACAATATTGTGGGATGTGTTGTGTTTGTATTTAAGCTAAGGAAGAATAGACACACATTTAAGTTATGGTTTTTGTATTTAGAGTTATGGTTTTTGAGAATGGTTTTCAAATGCAACATACTTCTATTAATGGATTGGTATTGAATGGCATTGTCAGCATTGTAACAACCACAACCCATGATTAACGTTAATCCATGCTTAATTATGACTAATAAGTAATTAAAGTGAAATTTTGCATCAAATGTTGCCTTATGTGTGTTTATATCTGTTTAACGTAGAAAGATATGTTCATGTTTTCATTTCGGTTTGTGAATTGAAGGGCTTATCGGCATCTGATTCAGAAATTGACTTGATTTATGTGTTAATTAGAATTTTTAAAATTTTATGGTAGGTTTAATTGAAATTCGATTCGGAACG